TGCGAATGACGAATCATTCGCACTCAACTCTTATCTTATCTGCCGTAACGCACTTTCCGTTGCATTTGACGGATTTTGCACCCTAGTCGCGCCTTAAGAAGATTTACTTAAAAAACATCCGTTATATTTTTCTCAATCACATGAGGTTGAATATGATATGAGGTATCAACTATTCATTTTCATAAACCATATCGTTGCCCTTCAGCAGTTCATCCATTAGTTTTACCCAGTGAGTTACACGCAGTTAACTTCCAAAAGAATATGTCAATAAACTTGAAATTAATACCCGATAATTATTTGACAACCGATTTTGGTATAACTTAGAAAAAGTTGATGTATGTGTGTGTATGTATGTATAAATAAAATATTTTGTCCACGATTTCGGGCGCACTGATCTAGCGATCTAAATGATTCAAAAAACATTCGATCTTATTGATAGGATGTGCTGATTAGTTTTTGGCGAAGACAGGTTCAGACGTTTCGAAGATACGGGGCAAAATGTACCAAAAATGATAATGCAGTTTTTGAGAGAACGCAGAATGATTCAAAAAACATTTTGTTTGTATTGACGAAATGAAAAGTTGATTAAATTTTTGGTTTCAGAGATACAGATAAAAAAGTAACTAGTGGTGTGTATGGCATCGTGTCTTAGGCAAATTGCTGGAACTTTCCGTATCGTAACGAAATGTTTGAGGAATATTAAATGTTTTTAAATAGATAAATGAATACTGTAACATTGTTTATATTTATAAGAATTTATATGAACTGAATTGCAAAGTTGAAAATATTTGTTTAAAGTTCATAAAAACTTAAGTCATTATTACAATTAAATTTTGAAAAAAAAATTGAAAAAAAAATGAAACAATATTTTTCCAAAAGCAATTATTTTGTTAAAAACAAGCAGAAAGTTTTTGAATCATTCAAATTGCAAAGTTCTCCCAAAAACTACCATTCTTTGCACATTTAGCTCTGTATTACCGAAATTGCTAGACCCGCCTTTGCCAAAAAGTAATCAGCACATCCCATCAATAGGAATCGAACTTTTTGAATTATTTAAATAGGTAGATGCGTTCCCCTCAAAAATCGTGGACAAAAAATTGTATCCATACATACATACACATACACACCATCCATCTGAGGTATGCTAAAATGTTCACAAACCTTCAAAACGTCGAGAAATGTAAAAATTTTAATTTGGATTTTTGGACGATTACAATAACTTACCCTACGGGAAATTAAAAAAGAAAGATATTTGGCGGTCAAAAATGATCATTAGACATATGTTCATCAACTTATAAGATATTTATAAAGAATTTTTAAATAAGTACTTTATTAAAAAAAATTGAGTTCCGTATCAAGATTTTTAATTTTTAAATTTCACTCGAATGATTCAAAATAATATCAAAATTTTCAAAAATATACAAAGTTTTATATTTAAATATAAATAAAAATGTATACATTTCATATGCGCTATTCTAATGGTAAAAAATATAACCTCAGATAGATTCATTCGGCGTGTCGATGTAAACATTCTCAAGTGTTTTATCCGATTGGATCGTCGCTATATAATATGTATAAGCAATAAAATATATAGTATTTTTAATTATCTATTCAAAAATATTTAAAACAACAGTTAATAATCATCGATCGAGAATTTAATTCTGGTGCGGGAAGTTTCAGCAATTAGTCTTAAGGCACGATGCCATGTACCACTAGTTTAGTTCATAGGTAATTTATGGGAATTTGAAAATACTGAGTCATTTATGCAAAACCTCAAAATTTCTAACCTGCCTAGATGGTAATAAAGAACATTGAGCTGGTTCTACAACCGCTCCGGAAGTGGCGCCTGGAGGGTTCCGGGCGCGTCCGTAGTCATCGCGACGGATACTTAGAGCACCACCTCCTGGACATTACACTTTTAGAAACAAATAGTTGTGACTGATTAAGTTTTCTATTTAAAAATTTACAGTTCAATTTAAATAATTCAGTTTCATTATTTTCAGTTAAAATATTTTTAAAGTTATGTTATTATATTATATTGTTAATTATATTAACTCATAATAGAAAGTTATATTACATAATCTTTATATCAAATTTAAAGTTATTTTCACAAATACACACATAAATTTGAAAATTTATTTCACGAATGTACAAAATAAATATTTGACACGTTTATGTTATCAAAATGTGGATACATTATGCATTTGGAAACTTTTACAAATGCTTTACTTGGTGTGCTAGTGTTCAGTTCAAATAAATATATCGTAAATTTATCTATAACAAGGATTTTATGAATTTTTGTCAAGTGTTGGAAAGCACTACTTTTATTGTACATTTTAACATTTTTTAATAAATATAGATACTTTTAATAGTTATCTTATTTTTATCACAAAATTTGATGTCACCTTGTTATAACACAAAATTTTTCACTGATTAAACACTACTTATTCAAACGGTAAATTTATGTTTGTTGTTTTAAGTTAATTAATTGGCAACCACGTATATTTTCATTTAAAACTGTATACTTTTTACATATTTGCTTCCATTTGTAGAATAAATAATAGTGAAGAATCATATTGCGGTTTGTCCGTGGGCGCGAACGTATCGAGCTTTTAACTTGTTGAATTCACGCAGGGGATTGAGCGCGCTAGAGCTTTCGACATGAATAAAGACTTGTGTCGAGCTTCAGGCATTCAAGGGGGATACTATATGTGTTTATCAAATGATGTGAAGAAACGGCTATTGAAACGTCTATTCGAAGCATAGCGGTATTCATTGGAACTACTCGATATTAATTATGCATAGATAGGGTAGAGCGGGGCTTAGGGGTCTGTGGGTTAACTGATTCACCGTCGATATCTCAAAAACAAGTAAAGTTAGGAGTTTTTTAACAACAATATTTGAGAGTAGAGAAAGAGTAATGTATAA